TCGGAAATAGCCTCTCTGCCTTTATAGAGTGGAGTAAGGTTATGTCCACACTACCCTCCACAGACTCCACGTATGGGATTAAACTGGATTTATTAGTATTATTGTTATTGTTGTTGGTAGAAATAGTAGGCCAAGTTCTTGTAACAGGGTATAGGGAGTACGTACCACAAATGGTTGTGATGAAGTGGTAAGTATTCCTTCATCATTAACCAAAGGTCTCGTGTTCGAGCCTCTGTAAATAAAGTTGTCTTTGATAGGAAGTCGTTTAGCCCCAGAGTGAGATTTCCTATGGCGAATCCGGACTAGTTGCGCCCAAATTTCAAAGCACACAATCGCCTACGCAAGATTTTTGGCAAACGGTGCCAATATATATTTGAAGAAGTGAATAAATGAATAAATTATTGTAACGGCAAATGATGTCATTTTTTATATTTATATCCAATATTTTATTTTTATTTATTATTTTTACATGCAGATTACAAAAAAAATTCGACGAAACGATATCACATAACATCATTTCAAGCAAGGTGCCTGCACTCCTGAAAGCATGCACAAAGTTATTCCCTCTATCCAATAAACACCATCACTACTAAGATTTGAAAATTCAAGTAGTTTTTATTTTTTATTATGATCTTCTCAAATAGGTTTTAGTTACTAAAATAGTGCTTTATAATTTTTAAATATATACACATATATTTTGTATAATTAAAAATCGAATGTCAATATTTAGGTTAAATATTAGATGCAGTGACCCTATTACAACTGTGTAAGAGGTCCATTTCATGATTGGATAATGATGGCCTTTTACAGTTAGAGATTCCATTTTATATAAAAATGATTAATTGTGTAACTGAATATCTCTTCTTCTGTGGCCAGTGATTATGTGTTCTTCTTCTCCAGCTAACAAGTGTCCCTCAGTATACACTTCATATGAACAGTATACCTGTCTTTAGAGGATGAATCCATGTGCTGGCATTTCAGTCTGGCTTCTGCAAATATATATCACATCAATTTATGAACAAATCCCAAATACTTAAGAAAGTATGACATGGAGTTGGCTTATCTTTGACTCTCACAGCTCAAATTTGGTAATATTTCTTCTTTTCCAGACTAAAATTTGCATTTGGCCCTTTATCTTTTCCATGGCCAAAAATAATATCACATCGAACATTAGCAAATTCAGAATTTAAAGTTATATGTCATTATTGGAATAATTGTTGGAGACTCAAATGATGGATATGCAAGCATGATAACTTATATGTTGTTTTATATCTCCATGAATCTAGGAGCTTTTGCTTGCATTGTATTATTTGGTCTACGTACCGGAACTGATAACATTCGAGATTATGCAGGATTATACACAAAAGATCCTTTTTTCACTCTCTCTTTAGCCCTATGTCTCTTATCCTAGGAGGTCTTCCTCCACTAGCAGGTTTTTTCGGAAAACTCTATTTATTCTGGTGTAGATGGCAGGCAGGCCTATATTTCTTGGTTTTAATAGGACTCCTTACAAGCGTTGTTTCTATCTACTATTATCTAAAAATAATAANAGCCTATATTTCTTGGTTTTTATAGGACTCCTTATTAGCCAGGATTTGAAATTTATGGGTTCGAAATTCTAGTCATCTTAAGTTACTGAGTACTAAATTAACAATTTATACATATTCAATAGATTTCATAAGAGAAATACAAGGTTCAGACAAAAGCAATTGTGTTCAATCGAACCCGTAAGTTCTATCCAGCTCCGCCCCTAGTAAACCTGTTGTCCTCATGCTTCCATGTTGAACTAGTACTGTATTCTCGAGTGTAAAATATGAATAGATTTTACTCTTTTCAGCATATCAATATATAGTTTGAGCTGAAAGCAACGTGTCAGTTTGAATCCACAAAAGCCGCTCTACATCCGCCTCTAATTGGAACTAGTCATCAAATAGCTATGTTGTTCGTACTCTCCAAAAATGTCACTTGGGTGTTTGTCAGATCCTCCAAAAGTAGTGCATTTCTGGAGGATCCGACACGGATTGCGATAGCTGTTTTAGAGAGCCCACACAAGATAGTCAAACAGTACAATCAAAAGGCTTTCCCACCAAATTGGAAAACCTCAGATCAAAGCCTCTTTTTTAAGTAAGAATACAGCTTCTAGCCATCTGAAAGCAACTTAATTACCACATCACATTTAATGAGGGCACTGCATTTTATTGACTTTGAATCATTGAAGGGCTACTAAATAATGTAAAATAAACGAAGTAAGAAGCAGATACATTCAATATGATACTGCACTTTGCCTCGGATCACTGAAAAAAAATACTGCAGTCTGCAATGCCAGTGCTTTGTTTTTTCTCCACTTACCTTAGCTCCATTACAAAAGTTCCTCAAATGCTATATGCAATGTATTAAAATCTGGAATCTTTAATGCCAGAAGATAGTTATGTGCCTACATAAAGATTACCTCTGTACGGCAGTACGCACTAGCAGTACTCTCTGTTCAAGATGATAACTTGTTCTACCTTTTAAATAAGCAACAGAATATAAGAAAGCATTAAAAAAAAGGCATGCGCATAAAATTTTGGTTCATTCTTACTTTTATAACACACAAATTGTAACTGTCAGCACTACTATGAGCCAAATTAATGAGTAATTAAGTGCTAATTGAACGATATAAACCACAAATAAAGTTCATAATTGTCATAGGCCTAAAGTTGTTTCCATGTGACTTATAGGTCACGGGTTCGAGCCGTGGAAGCAAGCACTAATGCTTAAATTAGGGTAGGCTGTCGACATCACAACCCTTGGGTTGCAGCACTTCCCTAAAGTTGTCTCCATAGGACCTATAAGTCACGCGTTCGAGCCGTGGAAACAACCACTAATGCTTACATCAGGGTAGGTTGTCGACATCACACCCTTGGATTGCGGCCCTTTCTTAAAGTTGTCTCCGTAGGACCTATAGATCACGGGTTCGAGACATGGAAGCAACTACTAATGCTTACATTAGGGTAGGATGTCAACATCATACCTCTTAGGATGCGGCCCTTCCCCGAACCCTGCAGGATGCTTTGTGCAACGGGCTACCCTTTAATTATCGTAGGCCTAACAAATTAACCCCGTTTTGTTGAGCGATCAGCCTCTTCCTCCCTCCTTTTCTTGATCATTCAAAGTTTACAGAAACACAATTCCAAATTCTATATTTTCAAAGCCACCACTTCCCTCTTCTCTCTCTCTCTCTAAACATCCAGAACTTATTGAATCTAATAACATGACAATAATTACAAGTGGGAAATGGGCATAGCACTGTGTCCAAGAAGCTTATCCCATTTCATCCTTCCTATCTTATCTACTCATTCACTATTGTGGGGTCTAACTAATGAAAACTTCAACAGATTATTTATCTGGCATCAAAAAAGGAAGAGAGAGCTAATGTAGATTTTTGTGGCTCAATCTATACATGTATATATATATGACTCTTAAATCATGCAATGCATGTTCGTACATGATCGTATCGAGAAGAACTACCATAAAGAAACAGCAATGCACATCAATCTAGTAAACTTTATAATATCAGTCACATTTAGTTTGCCTCTCAGCTACACACTGTGTCCTACCATTTAATGATCACAAAATATTGGATCCCATCTCTTATATATAGCTGTCTCACTCTCACAGACAACACACTGTACTTTCTCCTCTCCCTCCAGTTTTATTGTAGTGGTCCAATTCCTGCATATTCCATGCAAACTGATATGAAAATGACAGAGAGTTTCTTTCTCCAGGCATGCCAAAACAAATGGCAAAAGAAGGGTGGCAAAGACATACCTTCAGCGGCTTGCGACAAATGCTGTAAATGGACTCTTTGGCCTTTCCTTAAGGAAGAGAAGGCTATCCCGAGGGATGTTCCGAAAGGTCATGCGGTAGTTTATGTAGGGAAGTACCAAAAGAGGTTTGTAATCAAAATCACCTTGCTGAAGCATCCGCTCTTCAAGGCATTGCTGGATCAAGCTCAAGATGCTTATGATTTCACTACTGATTCAAAATTATGGATCCCCTGCGATGAGAACATCTTCATTAGTGTCATCAGATGTGCCACATCACCAGAAAGCCGACGCATCTCAATCTGTTTCTGATGGTGCTATCACAAAGCTCGTGACCGTAATTCATCCGTGATGCTTAACTCATTGTTTAGAATGTTGGCATCTGTAACCATAACCTGTTGTATACTATATCTATTGTATGTAAATTCATTGCCTACAAAGTCGAAACGCATTAGTTCTCCATTGAGTCAACTGAAAAGAATCTAGACGGGCAGTCACCTTAAGCGCTCATTCTTCTTTGCTACTGTAGAACTGATCATTTCTAGAAATGTTATGCAACTCCTGTACAAGGCACAGTACTCAAGATTGTACATTGAGTGAAATGGAAGAATGTCAGTAGACTATTTCAGAAACATTCCACCCTTCTAAATTGCTCGACTTCTCCTAACAACATCCCTTTGATCATTTCAATGGGAATGCCAGTTCTAACAGCTTGACAATAAGCACTAAGCATAGGCATAATTCCACGTGCCACAATAAGTTCAGGGACCAGGAAACAACATAAAATCTACAGTGTAGAAGTTAATTTTATTTTATCACTATTTTAGCTATGAGACTAAAAAGGCAAGATTGCAACAATTACAAGCATTTTCTCACAATCTGCAAAAAGACAAGCTAAATTGAAGATACAGAAGCCTTCATAAGCCAGGCCCAATTCGTAAGAGCACTAAAGGGCAGCCCGGTGCACTAAGTTCGTATGAGCACTGAGAAACCAAATTTGACGCCGGAATAAACTACACTAAAGTTCGTAGGCCGAAATGTATGTCAAACTGTTAACACTCTCTGCACACAGATTTGTAAAGCAGCTCAAGGCGCATTATTTAATCAGTTCCAGGAAGAGAGAACACGAATAAACATTAAGCACATCATGGCATTTTACGGCAAGAGAGAAAGAATCCATCCAGCAAAAGAAGGGGAAAAGAAAAACCAGAAATGCAACCCAATGTTGTATAAAGCATATGACAAACAGCCCAACGGCTCCACAGAGATTTTAATCAACATGATAATAATGTAGCAAGGACAGTAAACCTCTATAATAGAGGAGAATAAACAGTCTCATTGCTATGTCAGATCCAAGACTGTGACACTACCGCAATAAGACAGTTTCTTCTTCTTCTGTTATGTTGATTAAATAACAAGGGTAGATGTTGAATCATGTAAACCTGCAAATGTAAAAGTTTAAATTGTTAGAAATTGGACAAATTTATTTATTTGAAGTGGCAAACACAGCACGCACATGCAAATAATTTTTTGGTCAAACACGTGAAAAGTGTTGTTGCTCGTCGACGGTGAGATTCGAACCAAAACCTATGCCTACACTGATACATATTGAAACATGTTTGAGTTGTGTGAATTTATCATCTTAAGCTTTTACAGATGGAACGTCATTATTTATTTTTAGGTGCAAGAGTAGAGCACCCAAAGCAATCCTTTAGAAAAAAAAATGAAGGTTTTCAAAAAGACAACTAATCCTCTGTTCTCATCGTAAGCAGGGCAAAGAAAGTTTGCAATCCTCGATTTGCCTAGCAGAGCAATTTTCCCCTCCCCCCCCCCCCCCCCCCCCCCCCCCAAAAAAAAAACCAACCCCAGGCACCTTCTCTTTTATAAGTTGCATTTAGTCCTGATTCCAATAAGATTGACGTGACCAAGAGAAGATTAGCAAAGAACTGGTTAAAAAGCACCAGCACCAATGTACCAATCATAAGAGTTGAAAGTGGGATGTTCCTTTTCTTATGACAGATCTATATCTAACTCAAGATTTTAGCTTTACTCTTATGACACACTAAAGTATAACAGGGAAAGTAGTGTAAGAGATTATATATTCTTATGACACACTAAAGTAAAAGTTATTCAAGTGGAACCAAAAGATATAGAAAGAACAGTACGGGATAAAAAGTTTTTGCCAAATTCCTAAGGTGAACTGGAAGATTTTTTTTAAAAAAATAAGGTAAAGTAAATTTTATTAATAAAGTACCAAGGAGGTACTTCAAAAGTACAGGTGAACTGGCAGTATGTGTTTTTATCACTCATCCAATTTCCCTTCTATTGCTTTTCCAGCAAAAATATTGATTAGAAGAGTTATATAGGACCAAATAGAAAAACTAATAGTTTTACATCACCTTTTAGTTACACCTACTTACCCATTATGTCCTTCCCAAGAAGTTTGACCTATTTCCTTAAATGGAAATATATTTATATTTTCTCCCTCCAACAGTTCAAACTAAGATAAACTCTTTTTTTGGGGGAATGGTAACATATAAGATAAACTATTATTACAGAGTACTTTATGTTATTTCCAACTTGATGTGACATCGTTTCAACAAATTCAATTATCTCATATTTCAAATCATTATTCAAACATTATAACTCAATATAAAAATCTATTTAAACATTTTACTCTAAAGCTCTGCGCAAGTCAAATCGGCTCTAACTTGTATAGGAAGGGAAGGAGTATTATATTTCTAGGTTAGGGTGTTTCACATTCTACATACATTGAAGCTACAAAGAATCAGACAATTTGCGTAATGCAATAGGAGATAGATGAGATTGACAAGAAAACAAATTGGAAGATGACATCTTTTATCTATAAGAGTTCTACAATCAACCAAGTACAAGTGTAACATGATGAGCTAAATGCGCTAATCAATACTGAACAAAGATTAAATAATTATTAAACATAATCGTCCATATTTCAAATCCCTTTTCATGAATTAACTAATTCCAGAGAAACAAATGAAAAAAGATAGTCCAAGCCTATGGTGAAAGCATGAAAATTACCAAAAGGGTAAAACAGTTCTGCAGTCGCATACCCAAGACAAATTGCGGATGACGCCAGCTTTTGCAGGACCTTCCACATTTAGTATCTTCTGGAGAAGGAGCTTAAATGAACTTGGTATTACCTACATCCTATGCATTTACACAGATTCACACTTCTGAAGCAGGAAATATACAAGCAGATGATAAAATGAAAGAGACATGCTCTAGGCTGCGTGCCTTTTAACACTACAGCGACAATTACTGATTAAATGGTGGATGCAAACTCACTGATATATACATGTACAAATGGAAGATTAAGGCCAAAACTGTGCAGAAAGCAATCCACGGAATATCATCCATTCCAACTGAAGGTGGAGGCACACATTCTCTAAATAGCATTGATATATACATGTACAAATGGAAGATTAAGGCCAAAACTGTGCAGAAAGCAATCCACGGAATATCATCCATTCCAACTGAAGGTGGAGGCACACATTCTCTAAATAGCATTGATATATACATGTACAAATGGAAGATTAAGGCCAAAACTGTGCAGAAAGCAATCCACGGAATATCATCCATTCCAACTGAAGGTGGAGGCACACATTCTCTAAATAGCAAAATCTGTAAATTCAAAAGTACATTACCTCCTTCTGAACTGTTCAAGCAAAGCTAAATACAAAGAACAAGGGACGCTGTGAAATTGACATATATGGTCGGATAATGTGAGAAAGAGGTTAAAACTGGAGATACAGAACATATTTGGGCAACCCATGAACCTTAAGCATGAAGATATTTTGAAGCAGTAGATCAGAGAGATGAGCCATAACAGTCTTGCAAAGACTCCAAGCAGGGTATCACAAACATAGAAGATAAAAACGATGTGGTGTCATATCTTAAAAAAATAACAGTTGGTAGGAAAGTGATAATGGGGGTTTGGATTGTTGCTTGGGGGGTTTTGTGTGTGTGTGTGTGGGGG